AACATGCTTCTTTACTGCTGGTAAGTGAAATGTGCTAGCTTAAACTAAATGAGTAGACTTATTTGGAAATAAGCTAACCAGATTGAAAACACTGTGGCAAATTTAATTGATATAAGTGTAAGGAGTCAAATGAAAATTCAGAACACCAAGATGTGCAGCAAAATAAAAAGCAAGTACTTTCTTTCCTCAACCCCTTTCAGATGCAAAAGATTCCCATAAGCCCAACATATAAAAACACGATCTTAAATAAAGTATGACCACAAATCTTTTTTGTACCCACTGCACCAGCACTTCAAGTCTGCCCTCCAGTGCTGTCACTTCAACAGCAGCTATGGATGTCCTGCTCTGTGAACCCAGATCACAGCTTGAGCTCAGGGTCTGCTAGTCTGACCTCCACAAGCTCACTCTACAACAGCAACTAAAAAAAAAAAATTGCTGGAGGGAATGATGATTTGTGCAATCTGGGGTCACAGCTCTGAAAAAAAGCCAGACTGAAGAGCCCTTCCCAGACATCAGATTGATTGTATGAGGCCAGCAGGTACTTCCACAATCTAGGCCAGCCCCTTTGTACTACACCTGAGGGAGACTGAATAAGAGGCAATCAACATGCAGAATTTAATGTGTCTTATCTGTCTTCCACACCTAAACGTAGACCTACACAAGATTTGGACATGGAGTGGGTTCTAATGTAGAAGAATGACTGTAAAATAAACTGAGTTATGAGATTTGCAATCTAAATGCTTAGCTCCAATGGAGGACATGGCTCCCATTTAAACAGTAGGACACTATCTAACCAACAGGCCAGTTTGCTTAATGTCATGGTAATTTCAGTTTTGTAGGAGCAACAGGAACAGTGCAAGGCTAACGAAGATAAAATGATTTCACTACTATTCACAATATTCAGAGCAAATTTAGCTTCTGTTCTCATATTAATGCTGGTCTTTAGTCTGCCTTAGATGGTAACGTTGTGCTTGTGAAACTACAACGAGATATTTTTAAAAATTCCCTGTTGTCATGAAACATATGTTCAAATATTTAATAACTTCAAAGCTAAGGAAGAAAACATGGTATGTACATTTTCTATGAGTTATTGCAGTCCTAATCACTCGAAGAAATGTCTAAGCCAGATGGTCTATTTTATAAAAATACACTTCTCTAGAAAAAATGAGCGCATCATTCATGCAGTGTAAACCGTACAATTATTACCTGTGAGGACACTCTGAATAAGATCTTCTGTCTTTGCAGGTGCTTTCACCGAACCTAGAGGTAAAAAACATGACTGATTCCAATTCTTTTAAAGCAACAGTCATTACTGTGCTGCTTGATTGCACATTAAAACATGGCAGGTGACACAGGACATATGCTGACATGGGCAATTATTAATCATTTGAGAAAACACATCTCTTGAGCAGAAGAGCAGCAACACAGAAAACACCACCAATCCTGTGAATCAACACGAAAAGGTCACCTTCTGAAAACTCACCTGAGCATCGTTGTTTTACTTATGAGTAAACTCACTGACACCACTCATCTGAGTCATTTAAGTGGTATTAGGCTGATGGTTAGTACAACTGCCCTATATTATGATGACAGTACAAAATTTCTCTACGTAAGATGAATCCAGCTCCTTGGAAGTCAGTTAGATCAAACCTATGAAGACTGCAGTCATAAAATTGTAATCAATGTGGTTGAACAAGCTTATATTATAGGAGATGTATCAATACAGAATATATTAAGTATCCAAGATTTTGTGTGTGGAATATGTAAATACATGCATAAATTAAGTATATTTGTAAAAACAATTTAAACAGATTCCTGCACTTGCAACAACAACAAAAAAACCCAGCAAACTTTCTTGCTTGTAATGAATTTCAGTTCCACCACAAAAGCAACTCTTAAATAGAAGACATTTGTATATTTGAAGACAACTAGCCCTAACAGCATACTAAAGCAGTGGGAAAATTTCTACCTATTTTATAAAAACAAACCAAACAAATACCAAAAACCCCTTTTGTTCTTTAAACACAAAGCACAAGAAAAATTATTATCCAGATTTATTTTTAAAAGAGAGGATTTTTTGTTTGTTTGTTTGCTTTGGTTTTTTTTTACCTGGTGCAGGTTGGCTATGGACAACTTGAGTCGCTGGTTTCGGTGTAAGAGAGGCAGTGTAATTTACTCCATTTTCTGCTGGTGTTGGTCTAGGTTCATTGTTAGCTTCGGATGGTGCATCTCCATGGTCAATCTGACAATACATAATGATTTACATTACTCTTTCCAGCTAAGACACTTAAAATTACTTATTGACATGTCTAGATTAGCCTCTTTTTTTTTTTTAAATTGTAAAATTCTGTAAATGAGATATAAAAATCATTCTAAACGAAAAAAAAGAAGGTATCCTAAGAGCCACAGCAATCCAGGTGGTTCATTTGTGCAGGTTAAATTTCAAGAAGAAATAGAGCATGTATTATTCTGGAAATGTATTTTTATTTTAATAAAATAAAAATATATATATAACTCATCAGGGATGTTTTTCAGTACAATACATATTGCTGCACCAGATGTGAAACCTGTATTTTATTGAAAGCATTGCTCTCTGCCATAAAACCTTTCTAGAAATAATGCAGAGTCTGACATGAGAATGCTACTCAAATCCCTGCTGTGAATAAAATGTGTGCACGAAATCACTTTTAAATTTCATAGATACACAAAGCACTATCATTTTTCAGTGTTCTTACAGAACAGAGACATACTTCTGATTCCCAAGTTCTTACATTCTTGTAATTACACTCTAAGGATAATATGTAAACAGTACCTCCATCCTGCTGCATAAATAGCCTGTGGTATCCAAATATTTAAGCATTTTCCACAATCTTTTCTTTCTCTCCAGTTTCTTAAAGGCTCAGGCTTACAGCATACATTGTACTCTGCATTGAACATCTTATAACTTTCCCTGTGACCAGCAGGTTTCAAGCGAGCACCCAGCACTCAGCAAACAGAAGGTCATTCAAAGCAATTTTTATTTTGAAATGGCCAAGCTACCCTTCCTGCTGTCCCTGCCAGGGGGCAGTTGCCATGGTGCTCCAGGGTAGTTTTGGATTTGTTCCTTCAGCTGCTTCCATTTCACTCTTTGATGGTAATCACATTACATGCAGAGGCAGGATACTACAGTTGTTTTTTTTTTTCCCCTTGATTACCCCATGCTTGCAAAATATCAGCCTGTACTGCATCAACAGAGGCAAAATACATTTTGATCTGACTGTTTTGTGCTGCTCCTGCTGCTAATTTCCTTCTTCTTGCCCCTCACAACATACTGTATATTGCAAAAGGATTTCTGTCTCTGCAGCCTATTTCTATCAAAATTATAGGAGATACTGCAGTCAGAAACATGATGCAATTGAAAACCAATGCCAACAACTTCATTTCTATCAAGCAGAAATGACTGCAATAAAAAAGGAAAAACACAATGTAGCCAATATTTATGCCAGTAGAACAATGTCAGACAGACAGGCAATCGCTGTAGCTGTGACAAATACACAGACATGGTTATCCCCTAAACTCTCCTTCACAGGATGCAATTCATTAGTTTAAAAAAAAAATCAAAAAACAACCCCCCCCCTCCCAGTGTTTGCTGTATATAATATCAACATTTAATACAAATAGAGCTAGAATTCCTAACTTCCGGCAAGTTCATGCCCCGAAAGTCACTGCATGGGAAAGCGGGTATAATCTTATTTTTTTGGGACTAAGTTTGTACATGGTGTGAAATGCTGCATCACAGCTTGTTGAGAAACTATTAAAATAGCCTGTCAGTTTTGGACATAAAACATCTGTTTTCCGAAAGTAAAGCAGAAATGTGAGACAGGATCAGGAAGTGAATAAAGAGTAATTTTCACTGCATCAAGCAATCTAATCTCATTAAAAAGCACTTTCTCTTCTCATAATTCATCACACAGAATGCTAAAGTAAACATGATTTTCCTCTAGCAGAGCATATTTTAGGCTCTTTTTAAAACACAATGTAACTCAGCCTTATAATTTATAGTTTTAATATTCACAGAAAGTGGCTTATATTCCACATGTTGCCACGTCTTTTGCAAGACAGTACATTTACTCAGTAGAAAGACACATACCCGTACACGTATGTATCTATATGGTCTATTATTTTTCTTTCTACAGAGAAAAGGAGCTGCAATGTATTGGGGTTGGGAGATCCCCTCTGTGCTGCTAACACTGTTAGACGAGGTGTGAAGTTCTGAAGTCAGCTTGCCTCTCTCCTCTTTGGCAAAGCAGAAGCAAGTATAAGTAAGGTCTCCCTATAAGAAATGTCAGATCAACTTAATTTCCATTACTGTAACATGGTATGATCATTATAATTTGCAAAATCATGCCTGAATTTTCACTTCAAATAGTAGTATCAGATATCCTACGTGCAGCTGCTATCCTAGAGATGTTTTTGTTTACTTTCCCTATCAAAATAATTTTATTTAACCAAAGAAGTCAGCCGGAGTGATTACACACATTGGATTTATATCCAGGCATGCAAAACAATAGTTTCCATTTCAAAACTGTTTTATGGGTAGAAACACCAAGTCAGACGCTCTGCTGCTTCCATGCCAGACACATTAATGAGCCAGCAAGGCCTCCTGATGCCCTGACTCTGCAGTGGGAACTAACATGCAGCCCCAGGGACATTACACCAGCAGGCACAGCCAAAACACATTTTACTCTGGCTAGCTTCTCCTAGACCCCTTACACACTTCCACTCCTGTGACTGTGGGGATGAAAACATACAAACTAGCTACATCAATCTTTAGGCTGCGATTAATTAATCCCAAGAAACTCCCAGTTGCACACTACTACGGCTTATTCCTCCTGTCTGTAAAGGACACCAAGCAGGGGAAGAGCAAGCAAGCCTCACTACCTGTACGCTCATAAAGATTTATTATGTATTCAGGTAAGTACAATGAAAGGTGCAAAACCCACACTGTGGGTATGATAATGCTGCCATTCTGCAAAACATCACTGTTCTAAAGCCAGGCTGGAAAGCAAGAAGTGGAAATTATGTACTGATCAGAAAGCTAAAGGTAGGAATTCATGTTATGCTCAAGACGGAACATTGCAAATAAGTACAGAAAATGTTCTGGAAATTTTGTCAATTCTTCAGCATCTTCATTTCTGTTATTGCACTGATAATTAACAGCCAATGTAATCTGAAGCCTAGAAAAAGCCTAATTTATTTGTTCAAATCAGTTCACTATTAGGTAGCTTATCTGACTCCTGTTTTGCAAGAAGTCTGGAGAACATCTCACAGAGACGCAGTTTAAACTTCCAGGTAGCAAATTAAAAACCTCTCAGTTATACTGTGACAGCTGCAAGAACCCAGCTCAGATAAATAAATGTGTGTGAGGGGAGG